TACGTACCCTTCAAATGATCAGTTGATCATTAACTTTAAAAGCGTCAGCCGCAGCATTAAAAAGAAACGATACAGAAAGGCACGATTCGTGAAATTATAAACCAGCGTAAGGCGTGATTTGCCTCATCAATAACCCTGTAATAAACGTGAATCGTGAATTTTGTCTTCCATTTTCTAGAACTGAAGATTTCAATGAAACTTTGGGCGCAAGTACAGAGATTTGAATATTTCTTCACTACATACATGAAGCTCTGGCCTGCGTGATGCATTTATTTTTTGTGTCCACTACCTTAGAAAGTAGAGGACACTATAGTCATCAAAAAAGCCGAGCGCGTAGGTAAGCAAGAGAATCGATCTGATCGGTTAGCAATTGAAAGTTTTTGTTTGCACTCGGCGATATTTCGACCAATATTCGTTCCCGTTGGGTTGGCACATAATTCGCTGAGGAATACCAGGAATGGCGTCCTTGCAGACGACTTCAATCAAAAAATACAGCCACTATGAAAATTTCTTTTAAACGGGTACTGTGGAAAAAAAGTTCTTTTTCTATGGATCTGAGGCCTTTCAAAGTGGTCGAAGTAGCCCAATCTACAAGAATAAAGGAATTACCTTTGATTTGCTTATTATGATTAGCTGATATAAGCAGGGTTTCTGTTTGTGCCCTAACTCATTCACCTCTTTACTGTTTTTTGTTTCACTCCTCCCTCTCCCCCAACCCTCTTCCGCCATCCAAATCTTCAAACATCTGGACCACTTTTCATTTATTTAGACCCATACAAAAGTTTATATTCAATTGAAGATTGTTATTCCACTGGGAATTATTTGTGAGGTTTTGAAATCTTCAATACCATATTCAAAATACCACTGAATGGAGTTTACATAGTGGTTATACTTTCTCTGACCAACTCAAATATTACACTTAACTTGCGGCTAGCGAACGCACCGGAGAATTCGAGGGTTTACGTAACTTTCTTAAATTTCTTCCAGCTTCCCAACTTCAACGAGCTGAGTTTATGTGAACATGGAAAAGGCCTCTAATGT